ATTTAATAATCTTCCTTTCTTCGTCAATATATCGAATATAGACGGCAGCAGAATAGGCAACTTTAGACGCATCTGTAAATATATGGAGTTCCACCGTGTCGGTGTTTTTTGTTATGAATCTAGGTATCTCTTACTTCTTTAGGCCATTCTGATATAAGAATTTCCCACTGCTCCTTGTCGATGTCGTTTACGGCCTGATCCCATGCATACTTTTCCTTCCATAAATGCTGGATGAATAGTTTAAACTTTGCCATAATCGGGATTGAGTATCCCAGGGGATCATATTGTGAGGCGATGAATTGTAGAATCATTCTTTTTGTTAATTTTTTATTTGACCACGGTTTTAATATTAGCTGCATGGTATCCATGTCGTGATTCCAGTTAAGTCCGAAAAAGGTTTCTTTTTTCGCTTTGTTTAGATCGTTTTCAGGTACTCGTTTGTTGAATTCCTTATCATTGGATAAAAATTCTCTGACGTTCATTGCTGCTTCTCTAAAAATTTCTTTAGTTTTGTGATACTTATATATCGCTTCTTCCATGTTATCCGCAATCAAAATGATGTTATCAACATATAAGTTCTTCTTTATTTCTGAGGCCAAACTAGTTGCTGTATTATCTAAATGATATTTGAGAGTTGCTGTTAATAGGGAAGGTGAAGATATCACTCCAAATGGTACTCGTTTAAATCGGTAGGATTTGATATTCTTCTCTGATACTTCCTCATCCAGGTTCTTGATCCATAGAAATTTTGTACAATTTCTTTTCTCTGGATGTAATCCTATTTGTAAGAAAGCCTTTTCTATGTCAGCAATTATGACTAATTTCATCATTCGAAACCGTAATAATATGCCGACAAGATCAGGTAACATTACCGGACCTCTTTGGAGAACTTCGTTGAGACTTCTATAACCTTTTTGATGTGCCGAGGCATCATACACTACTCTTAATTTTGTAGTATTTTTATTAGGGTTCCACACTTCGTGATGTGGAAGATAATGTATGACACCTATTTCGTCGTTATGAGGAATTTCTTCAATCATACCTGTTTGCAATTGTTCCATGATTGTGTTATGATATATCTGGAGAAGAGATTTAAGTTGCAATTTTTTGATTAAATTCTTTAAACGTCCCATACATAAACCATAGTTGTTGCTCAAATTTTTCTTAGAATCCCTCCATGGCCAGCAGACATGATAACGACCATCTTTTTTCTTGAGTGTCCTTTGAAAGCGTTTTAGAGTTTCTTTATCCTCATTACTATTCGGAGACTCTTGCATTCCTATTGATTCTAACCTCCAAAAGTTTTCGAGTTCTGAATCAATGGTAGCCTTGGCGGTGCATACCAAATTTTGTGAAGAAATACCATTTTG